AATTTCAAAACCTACCTCTAAAATGCGCTGGAAGGGGTCGAAGTCCTCTTGGAGGGGGCGGATCACCCATAAAGAGGCGGATCGCCCAACATACGCTGTGCAGAGTCCGCGCTTGACTAGCGATCGTTGCGGGACCGCCGCGCTGTATGAGGTCGATTCCATAAGAACGCAATTGAAGCGCTTCAATTTCGATTGCTGGCAAATAGTTATGTATTTGCAAGCATGCAGCTATTTGCCAGCAGTTGCAATTGGAGCGCATGTACTACGGGCAGGTTCGGACAACTCGTCCAACACACGTCTCCCTAAACGGCAGGGGGAGTCCCTGTCTAAGCCCCTGCCCGACGTTTTTTTCTACTTTTTCTTTCTCCATTGACCAACTTCTCACCTGCAACGTCATTATAGGTGGTCCTTACCCGCGAATTCGTTCCTGGATTGTTGCTTTAACGCTCTAATTTCTAAACACAAGCTTAAACCACAAGCAGAACCTCCATGGCTAGATATTCCGTGGTTGCTAACAAAGGAGAAGGAAGACGCGCATAGAGCTCAAGATTGAAGATAGCACGCGATAGCAGGAGTCAGATTCCTCTACACCATGCTTGACCCCGCAACTGTATCGCAGTATGAACTGCTGATTTCACTGAAAATGGAGGACTCCCTCCATCTTCTCTGAAATGACGAAGAGGCGTATCTGGACGAGTTTCTCTGCTTACCCGCCCACTCCATGGTTCTACTAACCCTTGCGTATTTGAAATTGCCGCTACGTCGTAATCCACGTTGCGTGTCACGTGGTGTGCGCGAGGAATCTCGTCCATTTGCTCTCATTTGCTTGTTTGTAAGGCTTTAGCGCCCTTGTCGCCCTTGTCGTGCGGTATTTAGTCGCGACGATGGCACCTCTGCAATACTCGTAGGCACTACTTCCTATCCATAGGATAGGTTCTACTCGACCTGATCTGGGGTTGCTGCTTTAGGATAAACCTATACTTTTCAGAAGTATAAAGTTTCTTTTGCAGTTCGCCAACGCTATGCTACTGCTTTTGGCAAGAAAAGATCCGTATCTGGCTCAAATTTCTTGCATTTTGGCCTGTTCGGGCCTTTTGGCATAGTTGTTGTCATAGATACGCGCCAGCATCAGTGTGCATTTTTTTCAAGATAAAAAACGAGTGCCCCGCGGAGGGCGGACGGAAATGGCCGTGGCATCAAGGGCTTAACGGCGACGATGTCTTTGATAGTGGAACTTACTATGCATACTCTGTTCTTACTTTTCGAACTTTCAGACCTCATCATTCCCAACCCTATCGGACTCTTTTGATGACATTTCCACGAGGACACCATCAGCCACTGAAATTGGTCCTGGACCTACGTCATTTTCCCTTCAGTCGAGTAATGTGGAGAGAAAATGTTGCCGATCAATAGCGACGACAAATGGAGGTCCTTTAACTGCGTTTTCTTGATAAAAAGTTGAAGCAATACACTATGACTCGTTTCAGATCTTTATAGTAAACACCCAAATGGAGGCCTCAGAAACTCGAGCAATCGGAAAGGCTTTACAAAAGCTACCAGTAACGAACACAGTAATATTTTAAGGTATGTTGACGAAAAGCATTTTTATTTTAAACGTCCGGTGAAGGGCCAGTTCCGAAAGTGGGCTTTGTATAGCATGTAACTCTCGGACATTGATATCTATTAGTAGAAGTGAGTGCTTCGGCTACCCTATTGAGCGAACAATTGAATTAGTCAGAGGAGGGAGAGAAACAAGGAAGCGTGGCAATGGCTGCAGAGCAGTTAAACGATTCTGGAAAAGGGGGCTTCCATGGAGATTTTACGTGGGGGAACAAAAAATTCAAAAGGTCTCCCCAGTAGCAAAAAGCGGGGGTTTTGTGCATTATCCGATGTACCTATTACGTTTAAGGTCATTCGGCGACGATTTCGAAGACGTTATTCCATATATAGATGGAGTCAGCCAAACGCCTTCAATTGAAAGCTTTTGTGACGACGACAACACTCAAAAGACTGATTCTTACCACGGCAATATTACTTTGAAACTGGATGACAGGAAAGAGTTAGACGAACGACGGATCAGTTGTCTCGAAGCAAATGCTCATAACACCATAAGAGTTCGTGACGAAATTGCGAAAAGGGCCTCGTCCCCACTTATCATATTCCATGCAGCTTCACTCTCCATTGATGGTCCCTTTCTGGAAGCAAATAGACAACGTCGATACGAAAACAAACAGGTTAGTACATGGATTTGATTGTCAACAGCTCTGTTTGGCCACAGTTTGCCTTACGAAAGGTTCACAAGAATACTGGGTTATGAACAAGACTGTCGCCCCGGTGGTGCTCGAACACGCACCTTGGATTGCAAACTTAAGGTTTAAAGGACGAATTCACGATGAAAAAGCAACCCATTTCAAATTAACCTAGGGATGGTGAGTGGTACACGAAAGAAGGAAAAACCATGAGAAACGGCCCAGAACCCGAGAAATGGGACCCCTTCCTTGCCCGTTGATTTGAGCATTGATGCGACTCTCATCGCTGTGCCCTCTTCAACACTACGCTCTCTCAGCTATCTAATCACTCGCCACGTATTGAACTACGGCGAGTGATCAGATGATCGGTGGGCGGAGATCGCCGGACCCGCCAGCTTTGAGGCATGATAGGTCGCCGAGGTCAAATTTTTCCATGCGAATTGCGCGTCAGTTCGCACCCTCAGGAGGTCCGTGGGTCCCTCAACTAGGTCAGTTTCCCTTTCTTCGACCTTCATTCTAATCGTGAATTCCTCCTTTAAGTGAGGAACCCAGATCAAAGTAGCAGTGTCAAAAAATTGGTTGCGTGGCGAGCTGACTGAAAATGAACAAAAAGCAAAGAAGACAGTCGATAAAGCTCTGAGCGAGCGACTCTCAGAGCTTTATCGACTGTCTGCTTTGCTTTTTGTTCATTTTCAGTCAGCTCGCCACGCAACCAAGGTGACTCGTGCAAAAGCTTTCTCCAAATCCAACATGCATCTGTATTGATAGTTTGTGAAGCATTCTGAACTGGAAGTAGATGTAGATGACTCGTAGTTTGCAAATGTACGGGAAGAGGAGAGTTCACCATTAGACTTCAGCGAATGAGGGAGGATCTTCCGCGACGACTTGAACTGTTTGCTTCATGGCTCCACTTGCATTCTGCCTAAACTTGAATTAGCAGCTACGTCGTAATCCGCGTTGCTTGTCATGGAAAGTGCGCGAGGTAACTCGTCTATTGGCTCACTTGTAGAATCCAGCTCCTTTGTCACGGACTTTCGAGCCGCGATAACGGCACAAATGTGATACATGTGGGCTACTCTATCCTACCCCCAGGATAGATTGCTCGGACAACCTCATATGGGGATCTGGGTATGTTGCTTTGAAGTTGGTATGGATGGAAGGAAAGTTGGCTTCGGAATCATAATTCATGAGTGGCATTTGACTGTCGATATTTAATACTGGAATAATGTGTGGGCATATTTGAATTGATCGAGTTCAATCACATGAGCCATCAGCATGTTGGACTCTCCGCCATACATATCAAATATACACTCCTCTTTATACGAGCTGAATCTTTTATGAAAGCAATAAGTCATTAGAATTTGGGCTAAGAATACTTTGGGCGAGTGAATCGCAGCTCACTCACATAACGTTGACAGGGTCAGCGTTTGTAGCAGTGTTTTGTACTGTATTACGTTGGTCCAAGTCCAACTCGCATACGCAAGGGCGAACACGGCTCGCAAAATGTGTTCTTGACTCGTCTCTCTACTTCATATTCGACCGACCTATTAGTAGTGTATGATATGCTGATGATCAGCATATCATGTGAAGTTTTTTTCGAACTCAACTGATGCATAGTCGAACATAGTAAAAAGAGTAATCGTGAGAGGGCGATCCGTGATGGACTTCAATTGTGATGGGAACTGTGGTTTCACGCGCAAGGTATCCGGATGGCGTTAAGGCAAGATAAGATAAGATGCAGCAGCAGCTTAACTAGTGCCTGACCTGGTACTTGATGTGACGGAGGGCCTCCTATATGAATTGAGGGGCTACTCGTGCAAAAGCTTTCTCCAAATCCAACATGCATCTGTATTGATAGTTTGTGAAGCATTCTGAACTGGAAGTAGATGTAGATGACTCGTAGTTTGCAAATGTTCGGGAAGAGGAGAGTTCATAGACGCTAAGAAATATGGATACCTTATCAGGAAGCCTACGTAATGAACTTTTCTCTCTCAATTGTTCATTCGAAGGATGCATAATGAGCCTTTGTTTGATCTATACCCATGAGTGAAACACATTTGAAGGGAGGTGTCCTTAAAGTACACACATTAAACTTTTTTTAGGATCGCAAGAATATAAGTGTCGACTGCAAACTCGTACACGCTATGTGAAGCTGAATGAGGGTTGTTCTATCGCGATTCTGTGCGGTTGACAACAGCCAATCCTAAAGGTAAACTAATGGAGCTTAAACTAATGAACATGTCGGATGTCTACGTCTAAATGTGTCCATGTCTACGCGTCTGCAACACAGGTATCGCTCAAGATAGTAGTTCGCCAAATGCTTTTTCGGCCATGAGGTATGTTGCAGAGGCAAACCTCCTCTACTAAGCAAGTGTGATATTGTTGAATGAGAGGAAATACTGGAAAAGAAAAATCTTAACACTAAAAATTTCTCGAGTATGACCGAATTCCAAGTAAATTTCATTTATTGTAAAATGCTTACAAATTCAACAAAACAATCTACCGTATAATGGAGAACGTTTAAGCAGATTCAATACTTTCTTGATAACCTTCTGGAGTCGTTAATATCTCGACAAGGTCTAATTGTGGAATCAGTCATTGATCGCACTGTTTATTGGAACAACATCCCAATTTTTCCTCAATTTGACAAGTTTTTTCTTCCATACTCCTGGCTCTTTTTCCTGCCTAAGGTTTTCCTGGCCTTTTGCATAGTGTGTCGATGACGCTCAGGCCATGTAACTTTAATAGTCGCTCAGATAGAAGCATGCCATTCTCGCGAAACCACTCCTTCACAGTGGAGGTGCGAAGCTTTTGATTGCTCCATTGCTAGAAGACAAAGACATTAGCGTGCAGTTGCCATACGTGTGGATACGCAAACCTTCTGGAACCTAACTGCATCGGTCCGCCTTCACCAGTTCGCGAATCATCTGCAACAGACGGTACAGGCCTTCTAACGACCTACCACACTAGACCGAATCTCGTAAGTAGTTAGTAATGGATGGAACAACGCCTGTGCTGTCGGCCGACAAAACCATAATTCCACTCTTCGTCGCTCCCAGATGACGTTGTAGCGCTGTGGGCGTTCCTCAGTTCAGAAGTGCGTAATTCCGTTCCATCTCTTCATTTACAGTCAAACAACTTCACAGGATTCCTGGTGGTGAAAGCAGACGGATACAGTTGCTCTCTAAGGTGTTGTGTACTCACACATCGTATAACTTCACGCTGATGTCTTCGTCTTATAGCAATGGGGCGACCAAAAGCGTCGCACCTCCACTGTAGGGGAGTGGTTTCGCCAACCATGGCGTGCTTTTAACGGAACATCCAATTCAGTCACATGTCCTGAGCGTCATAGAAACACTATGGAAGAAGGCAGGAAAGCCTTTGTCAGGAAAAAGAGTCAGAAATACGGAAGAGAAGCTTGTCAAATTTGAGGAAATATTGGGAGGTTGCCCCACTAGACAGTGAAATCAGTGATTGATTCCACACTTAGAACTTGTCGCGGTTTTAACGGCTTCAGAAGGTTATCAAGAAAGTATCGAATCTGATAAACGTATTCTTAATGCGGTAGGCTTGTTTTGTTGAATTGTGAGCCTTTTACAATAAACCCAAAATTTACTTGGAATTCGGTCATACTCGAGAATTTCTAGTGTAAAGATTTTTTCTTTCAAATTCTTCCTCCATTCAACAAAAATACACTTGCTCAGTGAAGGAAGGTTTGCCTCTAAACATATCAAAAACTGAACTGATTTGATTAGCAGAAAGAAACTTGTGGTCGAAAAAGCATTTGGCCGAATACTTTTGAGCGCTACTGTATGTCGATGTAAGAGGCGTACAAACATAAGGTGATATTCTCTGATTCTCGGTAATGTGTGGTTTTGAATGAACACTTACCGCGTTACTTTGCGAACCATCACAATGGCCCCAAATTGTTGTAATAAAATTTCAGAGTCACGGACAGATGGAAGACTCGTCCATCTCGACAATTGGTAAAGAAAGCATCCAGACAAATGCGTCGTGAACACAAAGCCACTGTCACGTTAGCTGTTGTTTTAGGTGATTTGAACTCAACTTCCCATCAAAGTTTTAAAAATTTACATTGAATCTGTTTTGCAAACAAGTAGGTATCCCGCTATACCTTATACATATGATATTTATTTGTTTATCTATTTATTGAATGCGCTCGAAAGGCGCGCTACAACGAAAAGCTAGAGCCGCAGGTTATACTATGAACCTAAAAAAACACCAGCCATAACGGGAAAAGAACAACTCAGTTTTGAGAAAATTCAGTTTTCTATCTAAGAGCTCTAGTGAAAATTTAATATGTAAAGAGCATGTAGAACAAATACCTCGACCTGGGCTCGCTGAGATGAAAAAAATATTCAGAATTTTAAAACGGGCAGAAGAAAAAAAAACTACAAAGAGGAAAACAATGGAAAAGATAGCAAGAATCCTGTCGGACAGGAGGTTCATATTATTAGCTCAATCGCTTAAAAGAAGGATACTCCAGAGTGCCACTATACCACTTTTGAACCTATTGGACCAGGCTGCATTCCCGCTGCACGGAAAAGGCACTCAAGCTGAATCACAGTACACACGATCAGTATGCTTGCGAGGCTACAAAACACACTATACCAGAGGTTGAACGCAAGACCTGCACCAGTCGGCTATGGTGCCCGCTCGCCACACTTGGGGTCATAGGGGCTTACCGAGACTTCGAAACACGGGTATACCGACATCCCACGTGGAATCGGTAAGCTAGGAGAGTGCCACGGATAAGCCGCCTAGTAAGTGTGTAATGTAACCAGGGGCAAATGATCCGTGTGGATTCATGTCAAAGATCGGGTTTGTGGTGGTCCAAAGGAGGGAAAAGTGTGTATCTCCATAGCATAAGGCACCTGAATGTATAGTCCATGTGAGAAAGAAAAAAAATGAACCACATGTCCGCTGGACCTTAAAAAGCAAAAGCAGATGTAGTGCTGAGGACGACGTTCAATTTACGGAAGGAGACAGCACTCTGATCGGCATTCGTCAACAACTGAGATAAATCAGCCAGCAAATCCAGCGAACCAGCCACCGCATAATATTAGCTTGGAAAGAAAGTTCTGAAACACTCAATTCGCGCTCTTTCTGGCTACTCCCAAATGCTCTGGAATCTTTCCATGGGTGGTATGTAGAAGGAGCGCACTGTGCTGCGCATCGGTGTGGAATCAGCTTTCCCAATAATGGCGTTTGCATCGCACAAAATCGTACTTCTCCCGCGAGACCATCCGAGCGCTCATCCTGTGCGAGCTTCGCCCAAAGAGATCTGCCCACGAGAGGCGCTCAGAATCAGTCCAGGGATAGGCTAGGGCACGTTTTCTCACATGGCGGTTTCAGCTTGGCTCGAATGCTCCGCAGCAAAGACTTTGATCTGCTGACACCTGTAATCATGGTGATTCTGGCAACGCGTCCGCACGAAGCTGACGAGCCTTGATGCCGCCCAAAGCCTCGTCCTTGTGGGTTTTTCAAAAGGAGTTGAACAGGTCTTGGAAAAAGTGGTCAATAAGGTACCGCACGATTTTCCAACCGGGTGAACATCTGCCACATTACTTCTTCGCTCGGGCACAGTAGCTAAGAATAGCGAGTGGGCATGTGGTCCCATTTTTGCCAAAGACAAGTACGCTTCTGCTTCAGAGCATATGCGGAACAAGCAGCGGCTTGAAGTACGGAAAACTGGACTTGCAATCACTTTACCTGACAACTATGAGGGAATGGGTGATGATATCAAATTAGAGTACTGTCTACTTCAACCATATGTGACAGCAGCAACGGCTTGGAGTATGGAAAACTGGAGTTACAATGCCTCGATTTGAAAATTATGGGGGATTGGCGACGCTGTCAAATTTCCGAATTTCGAAGGTATTTTCCACGGGGGATGCTCCGTCTGCATTGACGTGCAAGGGCTACACACTGCTAGGTGCTCGAAACGATGGCGGAAAAGCTTCGCGGAATATAGCGACAAGTCAACCTGCTCCACGACAACGCGCAACGGCGCGTGTCTTCGGTCTCAAGCCACCAGATTCTCAAGCTAGGCTGGACCGCGGCTTTGCCCGTCTGCCATATTCGTCAAACCTATCCATACACCTCTTCCAACCTTTCCTGCTCGCTTGCTCATTACCTGGAGAACAGAAAGCTCGACGACGTAAACGAGCGCAAATCCGACTTCCAAAAGGTTGTTTGGCAAAAATTCTCCTAATTTCTAAAATGTGGTGGTGCCACCAAATGCCCGAAGGTTGGCGTAGTGTTGCTGGAGTCTGATGGTCAAGATGTTACAGGTCTTGAAAAAAAACAAAGGATAAAAAATAAATTCCAAATTTTGGCTGCGGGGCGTTTCACAAACTTCCTTCCAACCTAATAGTCCATCCACGCAGTAGACACCATTTCATTGACGTCTTAGGAGAAAAGCATAGCCAACTTTATGGGAAGGCTTCTACTAAAAACATCGGAATGTATCCCATAAAGGATAAAATAAGGATAAGCATTTGCCGTTGATCAATCCCTTTGGGATGCGGCACGCATTCTACTTCCATTTGTACATTCGTAGTGGCGTTTGAATGCGATGTGGCCTATACAATGACTTGCGGGGGCCAGCCGATGTACAAGTCAGTGTTTTTATCCTCCCAGACAAGTCTGGTACCAATTAACCGACCCCGGAGGGATGGAAGGCTTGGTTGGCCCGGGCGACTCACGACCCAGGATTTGATCCCCGGACCGCTCGCGTGGTAAGCGCGCCACTTGTCACTACACCACTTCCGCCCGATTATCCATACTTTATAATATTATACAAACAACTGTGTCCTCGAAGCGATCCTTCGGGCAACATATCGCAATCGGTCCCTTTTGCGCGCAGCATACTTCAATGGGTCCTACTCGCTCAAGATGGCATGTCTTACGGAGGCGCTGAGGGTATGAAGGCGCTTGATGGAATAGTGTGTTAATCCAATACTTGAAATAGACTGATGCGAAAAGGCTCTAACACTCAGTTCAAGCTCCTCAAGGCGATCAAGTCGTAATGTTAGGCCATTGGAACAAATCGCAACCCGACAGGAGGCGCCCTCCGCGCGGGAAAGGCAGGGACGCATGACTCGGTCCTGGAGTCGCAGCACGTATTGTTGGCGAGTGAAATCGTACTATAAGTGCCTACAGTATTAGTAAGTCGCCATTACCTCGTCCGCTGTACCCTTACTGTGCCTGCCTATCCGCAGACGGGCCTGGTGTCTGGTATGCAAAATAATTGTTTTTCTTGTTTTTCCTAACTATCTCGCAACAAGGAAGCTAACTCACTTACAACTAACATCCCGAAGCTGCAAGAACGGAGAAGCTGAAACAAAGATTATAATAAAATTTGGACGAGCATTGTAAGCACCAAATGATTGATTTTTGTCAGCTCTGATAAACTGATTACCTTACCGATGTAAATCTTTTCTTTTCAGCTGTTTTTCTCCTTTGCTGGTCACCCTTCTTCATACTGCACCTAGCCAATTCAATTTGCCTTATCAATGCACGGGAAGATGGATGTAATATGGGATGTTTCGCCGTTATTTCTGTGAACGACGTGGTTAGTATGTGAGTTCATATTGGAATTATCGTCTAGAACACACTCTTTTTCATTTCAAAATTGAATAAGTGGCCACCTATAAAACAAGATTCATTTGGTCAATATCTCTCATTAATGGGAATGGGGCCGAATTCCTCAAACGCAATGTGTAATATCTCTGTGGAGATGTGATTTTCTGTCCCATCCTTTTCTTCTTTCAAGTCTATTGTTGTTTTCAAGCGGGAACATACGAATACCTGCTAGAAGGAAAAGCTCCAAGACGGACTTAAACCAGGGTTACGCTTGCTAGACAGGAAGCTCAAGTCTGACGTTAACAGGGTGCGCAGCACTGTTTTTTGAGCCCTTTTTATTTGAATGTAACGATTACGATAGGTTCTGGGGGGGGGGTTGGATGGAACGTGGCTGTACTCAATACGGCAGAAGGCGAAAAAGCAGAGGATTCCGTCAAGAAAACGCAAAAAGAGCTTCCTTTCTCTGGCCGTGAAGCATATAATTTCCCTATGGGCTCCATCTTTATCGTGATCGCTTCTTTAGAAGCAAAGCCCGAGATCGAGCTGATGTGATATTGCGTTGTTAATGGTTATGGACATGTAACTTGTAACGCCATTAATGAAAAAATGGGAAGAAACCGTCAGAAAGGACAACATAACCCCACCCCCTCCAGTAGCGGCGAAACGAGATAGTATCGATTTGGGGCGGGATCGGTGGTGGTGGGCGGAGCATGTGAATCCTTGAGACATAGCGCCTTTGCCTTGCGAACGCGTAGCGGAGTGGGTACATGCTTTGCGGTTGCATTTCACTCCATGATCTTCTTAGAGCTTCATTAAATCCAGAAATCCCAAGCATTGCCTTCAAACTGAGTCAAGCCATACCTTCTACATAGCAGCCCTTTCCCATGCAAGACAGCCAACCAGCAAGGCATTTTCCTCGTTATTGATGCCTTGTGAACTACATAGAGATTCAATATTCCTGAAAAGGTAGAAGGGAGGCTCTCTTCCCAGTCTGGTCTTCCTTACGCGAATAGTGGAAAATAATAAGCTTGCTGTCATTTAGTCACTATTTTTTTGACGCTGCTTCAGGAATCTTGTCGAAAAAAAGAAAATGTTTTCACTGGCAGAAATCGCGACACCCAGCAGTCTAGCGACATTTGGTGCGGATTATTGAAGTACCATGAAGAAAGCCCGCAGTAATTTCCAAAAAAAATGCCGGAAACAATAAAGAATAAAGGATGAAGTTCACGGCGTAACGCTGTCGCTATGAGCTAGGTTACTTTTCACCCCCTCCATTTACATAATTCTGATCCCTATTTTTATAAAATTTTAGATTAAAATCTTCACAGTTTCTTACCTTTGGTGAAGACTAGACAGCTATTTATTCTTTTTTTTACAGTATGAACTCAT